GCGGCGTGTGTAGCGGATGAAGGCAATTTGGCTGCACACCGCCATCTTCTCCAGGAGCCTCCCCTGTTGGAAGAGAAGGAGGGGAAGCTGCACTGCCCTGCGCCGGGGTGGAGAAGACCTGCGCCCGCCACAGATAGGCCCACGTCTCCCACGGCAAAGCGTCTCTGAGGTGAGGAAAGCACCTTCCCTCTCAGTGCTGCCAAGCCTTACGCTGCCATTGCCACCCTCTCACCGCTGCTTTGTATCACCTCCCCACCCAGGCTATCACTCTTCTGAGGTTTCCAAAGAGTTGCCGTTTTCATCTCCCGTAAAACTACCTGGCCTTCCTCAACAGTTACCGGAAGGCCTCCCGAATGGCCTAAGAACACCTGTGCTCAACTGAAGTAGAAATCAAAACAGTATCAGAAACATCAATAGTTAACTTTTAAATAATATAAATAATTAACTTAAACTGAATCATGGAAGCACAGCTCATATTATTTGGGCTGTTACGTTTGGCTTCATCCCTACAGAATAGGTAGGGAAAACTGTAGCTAGGTCTAGTAGGATTTGCTCTACAAAAATTGCCCCCTAAAATCAACAAAAAAAGCATATAAGATGCTGTATACTTTCATCTATGTATTAACACAGCCGGCATGATCCCAGTATCTGCATCTATAACCTTACAGAAAAAAATCACCCCCCAAAAACCCCATTTCTGGCAGAAATCATGGCAAATTAACTCACCATAGCAGATGTACTAATCATATAAGCCAGGACAATGCGAAGCTTTCCAGTATGGTTCACTCCTGGAGGGATACTAGGATTGGAGTAGTCAAATCGAATTGTTCTGATAATTGCTAGTATGAATGAAACAATCAAAATCACCAGCAGTATCACTAGCAATATTAAAAGAAAAGCCATTTCACTTAGCCAGAGGTGCGGTGACTGCACACCTGTCTGTCTTTGATGCAGCTTTCTCAGATACCAGTAAATCTTAGAGCAGCCCAAGTTCATACAGCTCTCCCAGTTAGGTGTCACACACTTTAAAATCCTAGGAAACGTTGTGCAAGGTGACAGCACGCATGACATTGAAGAGGCAGAGGAGGATGCATATAATCTCCTGTTTAGCTTTACGTTAATTATGAGAATGATACAGGGCCTGGTATTCAATGTGGTATTCTTGGATTTCGGATGGTGTGAATGACTGCTCAGAGATAGCAGTTACATATCAAATGAAGTTCCAGCTTGTGATATGTGTTACTATTTACAATAAGAGACGGCAAACTAATATATGGAGGCTGAATTGTCTGTTGCATATGATTTGCAGCCACAGTGTATTACTTCTTGTGTTAAAGACAGTCTTTAAGTGGTTTGGAATATCTATTTTAACAAGGACATTTAGAAAAGAAAAAGCTAAATATCATGTGTGCTTTTCCAAATAAATATATTGAGTTTATTGCTAGAGTATTTAAATGAAGGAACACATTTACAGCATTTCAAAGGTTCTCTGTTGTAATTTACACAAAGCTCTTAACAGGGTAGCTCTGTCAGGGACAGCTGCGGTTTTGAGTTAAAATTTTCAAGTCAAAAATATCAATTACCTAGCCCATAGCAATTTTATGCAAGTTAGCAAGTGGGAATCGTAGACCTGGATGCTAGACATAATATATAGCACAGGCACTGCATTATAGTGTTGAAATATGAGTACCTTTCTCCTTTACCTAAACGCACCTGGCCTTCTTGGAAGAAAAAAAAAAACATAGTTCAGAATTGAATGAAGTGGATCAGACCAGATGTTGATTTAAAATAATGTTCTTTAAGATTTATTAAGAGAGTAGCAAGTTACCTGGTGCAAACAGGTCATTAAAATAGACAGACTGTGCACAGAATACTTCAAACATGACTAAAAGAAACTTTCTCAGCATTCCTTAAACATTTTCACATGTCACACTGTCATGGCTGATCATTAACATACATTGTCCTATCTAAACCTCTTCTCTGGGAGTATAAAACAAAACCACAGAAAATTGGCAATGCTTATATACTTATGGCTGAAAGAAAATTTTGTCTATAAGCTTTTTAGAAAGTTCACAATATTGTCAAGACCCCTTTTCCCAGCTGGAAATGACAACCAGCCACGATTAAATGTGCTCATGATTCCATGGAACCCGTCCTCAAGGTGGTACCAGGTCACGGGAACACCATTGTCCTCTAATCTCTTCTTGTACAGCAGACCGTCGTCTCTCAGCACATCATACTCGCACGTCAAGATGAAAGTCTCAGGCAGCTGCTGAACAATAGCATCTTCAGCTAACAGCGGACATAGGTTGGGCTCACAGAATCTTTTCACTGCCTCATAAACTTCAGTTGCGCATTCAAGTAGTGCGTGTGGTTTGTAGCCTCTGACCTTAAATTGTTCAGGGATGTTATCCGGACTCACCCACTTCCTGTACTTCAACCTAATATCTGCAGGAACATGAGAACCTTCCAAGACCTCTTCCACGTGCGATGCATCCCCATTTAGGTACTGTAACACATAGAAAGCAGCACGTTCTCGGAATAGGAGAGGGACTCCCCGATTTTGCTGATAGGACGGTAGATTGAAGTCCAGTGCCTGAAGGCCTGGGTAGATCAAGATCTGAGCGCGTAGCTTTGGGAGGTCCGGTCTGCCTGTGAGGGTCTGGCTAACGGCAGCTGCTAGATTGCCCCCAGCACTGTCCCCGCTGACAATTATGCGGGCAGGATCCACCCCATAGTGCTCTATACTCTTCATAAAGTGTACGGTAGCATTAAGACAGTCTTCGTATGCGGCCGGGTATTTGTGCTCAGGAGCTAAACGGTACCTAACACCCAGAAAGAGACAACAACAGTAAGAGAAGGGAATGTCATTAATTGTAACTGTATTGCTGTAAATACTGAAAGTTTAGCCCCAAGTGCTTCCTGCCACCAGTGATACACTTGTTTCCTCAGAATCCTCCCTCTCTCCCCAACTTGTCGTAAATAAACTATGTCTAATGGGACCAAGTGGTGATGATTAACTTATTGGGATCATCATCTATTTCGGACATTGTTCAGAGCTTGAAAGAGACAGGAGAACTCAGCTTGTAACTTGGTCCAGGTTTTAAGGACAGTCATTTAATCAGTTCATGCTTTAACTTTCCATGTGTCAGATAGGAATGATAATGCTTCCTTTTTATGTCTTTGTTATAATTCAGCTATATCCTCATTCTGCAAACAGCTGTAGCAGTATGTGGGTGATGTTAGTTTGTCATTCATGTAGTACTCTCATGAGCATCAAGTAGAGTTAGCTTGAATGAGAATTAAGGAGTAAGATTATTTGACTTACTGCCTGTTTACTATCAATTTTGAGTTTGAAATTGAAAGCATGTACTTTATTATGCGGTTAATGTCTGTAAGCATTATGTGCAGTGTAGTCAGGTAGTTAAAACTTAGTCTCGTTAGTCAGTCTTCAGTGGCTCCAAACAAGAGCAGAGTGAATTTATAAAATCATATGCTTGACAAGTTCCACAGAAGCACTTTTCTGAGAATAGTTGTTGCTATGATCGAGGAAGTTGTAGGTTGATATTCACAGTGTAGGAAATAGTCTCTGAAAAACAGCATGAGGAAGAACTCACCCAACAGATACAACCACTGATTCACTTTCTCTGGCAATAGAGCGGCACAGCTTTTCATGGCTCTCTGAAAGAAATATTTTCATTGTTTTTTTGCCTGAGTATTGATGTTACCCATTGCATAAGGCAGGGAATTGTAAGAAAAGAATATTCTCCCCTTTTTCCTCCCCCTTCTTATATTGCTCTGCAGAGCTTAGTATCCCCTCATCTTCCCTTTTCACTATTCGCTTAATGTATTTTTTTCCCCTGATGTCTGACTGTCCTTGTCTTTAAGAGAAATCAGGTAATGCACAGCAAATGTTTTTTTCTGACAAACAAGAATTAGAAGAGTGCACCTGTCATTACAGTCAAACTTCCTGACTGCCGGAGATCAAGCCACTATCAACTTTACCATTTATGAGGTAGGTACTTCTTTTAGTAAATCTTCATATTTTTTATGTTAAATATCTTACCAAGACTTCCAAATACCCATCCTCCTCCATGGAAGAACATAACTCCTCTCCTTTGGCTGGCAGATGGAGCCTTAGGCTGATAAATCCTCACAGGCACCTTTTCAAACCACAGGTCCTTGATGAAGAGATTTTGGTCTGCTCCCTGCGTCTTTCTACCTTGCATATACCGGACAAAGCCAAGCTGACTGCAGATGCCAATATTTTCCAAAATCTTTCCCTGTTCAAATGCAAAGAGAATAGGGAATTCACTCAGGAGAGTCTGTATTTTCCGAAGTAAAGGAGCTGCCTAGGCAGTACACATGGGAGGTCTAAGTTGTGTCACTTAGGAGAATTAGAAAATATTTGAATAGTCGTACAGGTGCAATAACACTGAATAAATAACCATAGAATCACGGGAGGCCATAGGAACCAAGTATATTCCACATCCGCAGGGGTTCTCTGATTTTGAGCGTGATTTTGAGGCTGAGGAAACTAACCAAGCTTTGTAACATGCTGATTTGAATTCAGTATAGGAGGTAAGTCTTAGTGTTTCTGACTATATAGAAACATGAGGAATTTATTTATTCTAGCGTATTTCCTAGTTTCCAGACAGAAACAGAACAGCTACAAAGAATATTCTCACCTTATCATTTAACTTGTTTATTTCATTCTTTGTTATCTGCATTGCAGCATACAAATCTGGTTTATGGTATTAATGGGCAGCGATAAAAATAACTGGATTTTCCAGCTGCTTAGCTGAAGTAATCACTTTCTGATTACAACTTCTGTGCAGCCGAAACATGAGAATATATATTATAATCTAGAATATTCCTCACACACACACTTATATATATTTCATTTTAAATAGTTTGTCCCTGTTGGAGGAGTTGAAGTAATGCATTAAATACAAGCACAACTGTTACTAAAACCTCCCATCATCATAGCTTCTATGTATCTATCATTAACATGGAAATTCCTGATTCAGTAAGATCCGTTGTCACCAAAGACCCCCACAAGTTGGATGCTGGTAAAACTGTTAGTGGAAGAGCTAGAAGTCTTGTGAGCTGACTAGCTGCCCACTCTTTCACAAGCCAGTTCACCTGAAGAAGTTGAACTACCCAGAACTCTTCGTTCCCCTCAAGCAAGGCTGCTATTCTGCTTAGCTGCAGCAGCGGTTACAAACATGTGGTCAAAGGAAATGGAATTCCTTCAGCTTTTCTTGGGCAATGATGTTACCGAATTTTATCACGTGTCATGACAAAAAGATCCTCCCCTTCCCAAAAACAATTTTAACATTTCCCATTTCCGTTTTTATCTTTAAAATAAACACATAGCTGCTCACTGCCCCCAGCCCAAGCGAACCTTGAAAGCATGGCCCAAAGACAGCTGATGTATTCTGAACCCAGAATGGAATCATAAACAATCTAGTATGTATACATATTGTAAATCAAATTATTGCTAGGTTAACACAAAGCATTTTAGAGGCTCAGTTCAAACTTTCAAACCCTTCTGTTAGGCAGTGCTGACATGCTACCTGACGTAAGAGAGCTAGGCAGGATCTGACTGTAATAGTGCTGTGCAGTGCAAAGAGTCTGGTAAGGGTTTCTGTAGCAAATCTGAGCTTCTTAAATACAGCATGCAGCATAATAGCAATATCCTGCTTTCCTCTTTGAAAAGTAATTCCAGGCAAGGTTCAAGCATTGCATTAGGTTTAAAATTTACACGTTCACCTGTCTTCCCCCAGAAATCACGCCAGGTTAACTTACCACCACCGCTGTGCTTATTAAAATCATATGAATGATTCGGAGCTTTACAGGTTGATTCAATCCAGGAGGAATTTCTGAGTTGGAGAAATCAAAATTCATGACGCCTATGACCAAAAGTATGAATGCAGCAATGAAAACTGCCAGGAATAACACCAGTAATATATAAGCAACTGCCATTTTGCCGAGCAGCAGACAAAGTGATCTGAAATGTCTTTGATTTGACCTTCCCAGATATCTTTGACTCATTACTTCCTGATTCTTATATGCCTTTGTTTGTCATAAGGTTTCCCTAGGAAAAAAGTTTCTCTTCCCTTTTTACAAATAAAAGTGAGGTGTGTATCTCTCACTCCTTTATTTGACCAAAGATAAATTGTTCGCAGTTCTGAACTTTGTTGCAAGATCTGTGCCTGTAACATTTCAGAATTTTTGCAAGAAAACAGTCTTCAGCTGTGAGAATATTATTAATAAACCGCACTTAATATTAATTAGAGGTGGAAAAGGGACACAGAGCATTTGTGTGCCTTGAGTTTGTGACACTATAAAAGACTGCTCTCTGGAGAAGAGTTTATCTGTGATTACGCAGAGGCAGGAGCCTGCATACGATGAATATCACTCCAAAGGGCTAAATGGAATGTCACCAGTTTCTTTTTTTGAAAGATGCACTTATAGAAATGTGCCGTTACCTCAGAATTCCATTTTTTATTGTTGTAGATTCTTTTAAAAATGTGTTTTTAATTAGCAGTTGCAAGGAAATTAAGAAATGTAATCAATATATGTCGGAGTTCCGACATTAATGTCGAATTTCAAAGACGTTACTGTTAACATTTCTAGGTTTTTGTTTAAAGTAGGTAACTTGCACGCTTACCACAGGCGCAGAGAATAATTCCCTGACATTTTTAAACAGACTGCGTGCATTTTAAATAATCCAAGGTTAAGAGTCTATTTTGGCTCCAACTAAAATACACTAGCAAATAGCAAATAGAGAATAGCAAATAGAGAATACAGGAGAAATTCAGAATGTCTTGGCAGTAGTTATTTTTATTAGTTGAGCTGTCAAAAACACCCTAACATATATTCAGATGCGTTGCATTCTGTTAGGGTTCTTTTCTTCCAAGAGTTTTTTCCCAGCATGTCTTTGAGCTCACCCTTTAAATTTAACAGATGAATAAACTGCAGGCCTAGAGAGCTTGTTTTGTAGGAGGCTGCTGTGTTAAAACAGTAAACATAGATTCTGTGCTACAGAATGTATTATCTGATTCTACAAGTCCTTGAAAGTCTGAGTACAACAATTTCTTCAGTTCCTGACAGGAAAGAGGTACAAATTCCTTGCAGAGTATTTTACCTTGAAATTGGAATCCCCCAGGAATTTCCAGAAGAGAATACAGATTAGTTCTTCCTAAGAAATTAAACAGTTCCATCCTTCCTGGTGTAACTGGGCATCAATTCTGTTATCACACAGAAATTACATACATCATTTGTCCAGAAAGATAGCCCCAAGGTTGTGGGAGTTATCTCTGTGGCTCAAGGGGGAAGGATCTTAACTTTTCCGTTTCAAATGACTACCGCTGTTATGCACATGATTCTGGAAGCGGGTGATAATTTCTAGTGCATTTGTTAAGCATTTTGCTGGGGAAGGTAACTATGTCTCGAATACTACAGAAGTTTGGTGCAGACCAGATTTCAAAAGTTCTGATGCTCAGATCTGTAAGAGTATCTCGGTATGTTTCAATGATATGTCCGAGGCAGCCTTTAGTTAGCAGAAAATTTATTGTCTTATGTAAGGCAATCACAGCCAATCAAACGGTAAAGAAGGAACAAGTTGCTGCATCATTTAAAGGTGGGAGAATGTTAAATGAGCTGTAGAATATCTCCAGATTGTTAGGTGGTTCAGATTTTTGCCATAAATTGATGTAGCTTTGTTGAATTCAGAGATATTTCAGTCTATACAGGCTAGATGAGAAACTAGCCTTATTTTCTTCCTCTTTAGAAAATAAGTCAGAGAACGGGAAATAAAGTGAGGTTTATATCTTTCAACTTCACACTAACTTCAGTATTAGCATTTCCAGGGAGCTCTGCATATCTTTTTTCTGTCTAACAATGAATAACTTCTGTCTTTCCTCTACACCTGTATTCGTTCTTTCAATTCCTTTTTCTTGGCTTCCCTCAAGCTTAGCCCTCCAGGCTGCGGTATGAAGAATACTTCTGACTGACATCAGCTGAAAAGATTGCATTGCAATTAACCCCATCCTCCATTACTTACCACTTAATTACAAATCTCTTTAAACTTCCCTAACCTCTGTGGAATTAATCACAACCTCTCGTATGAATTTGGTCCCTTGATCTTCTTTCTCTTCTTCTCTCTGCTCTTTTTCAGTGTCTTTGTTCTACTTTCATGCCTTTCTTTGTCAATGTTAATACAAGAACGTTTTATAGTTTTGTCATGGTTTGACCAGCTTTTCCTGATTAATACTTTGATGGTTAAAAACTTAGCTGAAAAAGTACCTATTTTAGTTGTTAGCAGTAGTGCTTTATTTTTCCCTTAGGAGAGGGTGGGACTCTTAGTTTCCAGAAATGTTTATGACTTAGTTTCTCTTTTTTTTTTTTTTTGTTATTCCAATTAATTTCTTTCCTTGAGCAAGGAGCTGGTCATCACAATACCTACCTACTAACTATATTTATTTGAATGAATAGTTAATAATTAAGTTGACAAAATGTGAATTGAAAGTATGAATTGTAGAGTTCAGTTGATCACTGGAAAGATCAGTGACCAGACTTTTAACTTTGAATGGGCTAGGCAAAGCAAGCAGAAGATATTGAAGAAGCAACACAGGAGGCTGGGTTTAGATTAACTATCAGGTTACTTCATATCAGGTAGGCTTCAGTAACTCTCAGTGCTTTTCCTGTGATGATCAACAGATACAGTATAGAATAACCTAGGGTAGTCAGCTACTAAGGAGTTTCAAATGAAATTGCTTTATCTTGTATTTGCTGTAGAATAGGGTTGTGCTAGTGTAGAGCTGCTGTAGTTTAAATGATGTGTGAGAAAATTGCGAATCTGAGTCTGAATTTCTTCAAACGATTAGGATGTCACAACATTGTTGAAACTGCAACTACCCAGGGAAATGAAAGAGGTAAAAATCTAACTTTATTAACTAAACATGTTACAAAATAATACTTCTTATTTTTAGTTTAAGTAGTGGGGAAAATATCGTGTCCTTTTAGTTAGAAAACTTGTAAAATTGAAGTTTCACAGCGAGTGTGTGAGGGCTACAAAGGCGATTAGGGGACTGGAGCCTCTCTCCTC